CCCACCTTGCCCTTCCTACCATCCTTCACCTCTCCCCCACCACTCACCCCATATCTGGTCTGGACCATACCCCTCTGGTCCACATGTCCCACCTGGGTAAACGCAGAAACACCCCCTGTCCCTTGCACCCTACTGGTCCATACTATGCTACCCAAGAAGGACTCCAAAAAGTGACCTTTAAGATATTTTTCTCAGCTCCCTTGTTGTCTGTATTCATGTGTAACCACCTCTCAGCAGGACATGGCAGGAATGTAATATTTGTCTGATTAGGCAACCTGGGAAGCGAGTTCTGTACAAATAGTAAATGACTTGCTTTTGATTTGGGGAATGTTGCTCCATTTTCCCTGATTAGCATGTGCTGTGGGGAGACCTGCCTGACATACCAAACAACTTCCTCCTCTGTGCAGTGTGTGATCCAAGGATAAATGAATACATCAAATGATTTTAGCAAGGGAAAACACATAAACAGAAATGGCTTGGTTTAAAATACTGTTAAAAGATTGTAGGGATAATTTCAGAAAGATCAGGATACTAAGCAACATAACAAGAGAAAGAAACTTGAAATATTCTGGATTGTGGAGGACCCTTCTGACGATGTAGCAGTAAGGAGGGCGTAGGGACTCCCTTTCCTGGCTCCCTTACATGCTTTGAAGAGCCACATGTGCCAAGACGGGCCCGGGAGCAGGAGTCTCCAGCTCTTTGGGGGGTTTGTAGGAAGGCTGTGCTCTCTCTGCCATGTCGCTAGGGGCTCTCTCTCTCCATGTGGTCAGTGTACTGGGGGGTCACATGAATGTGGAGCTGTTTATCTCTGAAAGTATAGTAGCAGGATGAGGGCTCAAATGTTTTTTATTTCAACATAGTTGATCTATGATCTTTGCTGCTACCTTCATTAGAGTTGAGTTTTCAGAGTCTCTTACCGTTGTTCCTTGTATCATATAAATAACTCATTGGCAGTGATTAGGATTTCTTGGATATTTAGGTCCTAACCTTTCCACCTCTGGCACGATTCCTTCAATGCCTGAGTTTCCTCTCTGTGGAGGACCACCTGAGCAGCTCTCCTTGAAAGAAGAGCCACTGTCTGCATTTTGACTGAGCCTGACCCTATTTCCTCATATTGTTCTGTACAGAGCTGGCTAGGGCTTCTGTTTACCCTTCAGTTGGCCTTAAGCAATGTGTATTGGTCCAGCTGAGGTGCTGGTGATAGTCTTTCAAGGTGGCGTGTGTGTTTCCCGGGCAACCTAAACCTGCTGCTCTTTAATGTGAGCTGGATCAAGACAGGACAGTAGAACTAATGCTCCGCGCCACCAGCTGGGATCAAGCCTCGAGATAGAGGCTATGACCTCCTGGGGCTTGAAAGACTACTCAAAGCTGAAGCACCAGACCCTCCAAAACTATCTCTGTAGCATAAAGCAGATTACTTTCTTTGCATATTCTCTCTGCATATGGCAGAGGTAAATGCAGGCCACCCACCGAGCTCAGCTCACAGTAGTCACCTACTTCCCACAATTCTCGGTCACTCCCCCCTCCAGCCACTCCTCCACTGAATAAAACTGGGTAAGACCCTGGGTCAGTCTTTTGGTTCCGGAAAGCCATCTTCATGGCTGAACTTAGGGCCCCTTGGCTCCCCAATAATTATAAATAGGCTTTAGTGTCTTTATTTTCGCTGTGAGTTGTACTGGGAGTGGGAGATTGGAATTAATTTATGGTATTCCAATAACGTAACATTGGGATTACAAATATTGGCTTTTTGGACCGAGACAAGAATCTGGAAGTGACTCCTACACTCTCATGGAGAACTTGGATAATTAGAACAGAACCAGCAGTTGTACAGATTTGGGGAACTCACTGTGTGGTAAATGCTCACGGAATGTCAGCCATCACTTGCACTAACTGAGCTCTGCTTATTTATTTCCATTTAGTATGAAACACTTTATTTTGTTTTTGTGTATTAGTACAGGTTCTACAGGGTCTCACTACACAGATCGGACTCATAGTGATCCTCCTGTTTTCAGCCTCACAGGCGCTGGGATTACAGGCTCATGCCATCACACCCAGTCTCAACACCATTTCAGCATGCCCTGGGGGTGGGGCCCGCATGGCAAACCAGGGATTGAACCCCAGTCCCTGCATCTGCCTAAGCAAGTGCCTTAATCCACTGAGCTATCTGGCCAGCCCAAAACATTTTATTCTATTTTCAGTGCTGGGGCTGGAACCCAGGGCCTTATGCATGCTAAACAAGTGCTGTACCACTAGGCTACATCCTCAGCCCTACTACTATCATTTTGGACAAATGGAGCTATCTTCTGATAGGTGGTGCTTTATTTATTTTTAATATACAAGGAGCAATTTGCGTTTTGCTTGGCTTGGCAAACAACAACTCCCCCCTCTAGTAATGTGCTTCTTATTGTTGGATAATATTCTTGGGTCTCTAATATTATATAGAAAGCCTGTGGAAGTGTAAGAGCTGGAATGCAATCTCTAAGGGGACCTGGCTTGTGCTAGATACTCAGTAAGTATTGGATAAGAGATGCACAAAGGAACTGGGTCCCTACCATTCCCCTGAGATAGGGCATTGGCTTCCAAGGGGTAATAAGATTCACTGTGTCAGGGTCGGGGAGATAGCTCAGTAGAATAAGTGCTTGCCTGGCAAGCACAGCGTCCTGAGTTCAATCCCTGGTAAAAAAAAAAAAAAAAAAAAAATTGTGTCCATGAAAAGAAGTCAGAACATCCCTCAGACCTAGAGCTAGTGAGTGAGTGAGTGAGTGCAGCCCAGGTGAACAACAGAGAGCATCCTGCCCTCTCCTTGCAGAGCCTGGAGCCTGAAGGGAAGCAAGACAGTACCCCCAGCATGGGTGTAGGCAGGATCCAAGAAGCAAGTGAGCCAAGCAAGGGGCCAGGAAAGCTCTATCAGCTCTTTGGGGCCACAGTGGAAGTCATTATTGAACAGTCTAAGGCCTCTATTTGGACCTCTATTTTGTTTAAGGCCATAAATATATTTTTCTGAATTTATTTTCTTATCTCATCTATGCCAATGCTAAAGAGAAGCAAGGAAGAGGTTTGGGGCTGACCTTTGAAGGTTTGGGGCTGAGGCCTTTGTCTCTGGAAACCACTTATAGAACCAGAATCACCGTATGTATGTGTGTAATGAGAAGGGGCTTTTCAAGGGGCTTGCAAACAGGCAGAGGGAGCCTCTCCTACCTGGAGACTCATTCCAGCTTTTATTTCTGCCAAATCCTTGAGCACAGCAATTGTGCTCATGATTCTCCTGGACCAGAACATACTCAAGGGAGGACTTCTTCCATCTGTGAGAGAGGACCTAGTGGAATAATCCTTCCTCCAGCATAACCAGGAAACTATAAATTGCATGAAATACTTGAAACCCATCATTTCCAATGGATTACTGAGATGAGGGGAACAGCAAGGGGGGTTCTAGCTTGGCCTTGGATTTCTGTCTGACTACAGCCCAGAATCTAGCCATCTCGCTGAGGTGAGAGGCAAAGACTAGTAATAAGGGAGCACAAGGTAACCTCAGTCTGCAGGATTTCTTCACACCTGAGAGAAGGGAACAACAAAGAGAAGGTTCAAGCAAGGCCCACAGAAGTTCCCTTGGGTCTTCAGCTCACTCTTCCCATACATAGCTTGCTTGTCTACTGGAAATGGCTGTGTTTAATGATGACATGTAGGCTAAAAAAGTGAGGCCTCTGGAGATAAGGACAGGCAGCACACCTTCTAGACAGGAGAGAGGGCAGAAGAGAGGGGCTGAGGCCTTTGTCTCTGGAAACCACTTATAGAACCAGAATCACCGTATGTATGTGTGTGCATGGGTGCATCAGGCATTTTTAGGAGAGAAAAAAAAGATACTTCCTTGGTAGAGTTCCAGAAAATCTGTTTCTAGGATGGTAGGTATTCCCAGAGTGCCACCTACGAGCCTGTGGCCACAGCTATGCGATGCCTGGGGCTGCCCAATACACTACTTGCAGTTCCTGCTTCTGATTCAGTGCTGGGCCCAGTAATCCACAGACTCGGTGGACCACCACTCACTTGGGAGTGGCCTCCAGAGGGAAGCACGCCCCTAAGTGGGAACTCTTCAGATGGCAGGCCATGGCAGGAGTACTTTTCTTCTTTGAACTCAAAGGTATTTTTCTCAAGACAGCAACCTTGGGTATTTTGTTTCTTGGGCCCATCTCCTTTGGGTACCGAATAAGGTGGTTTTTTTTTTTTTTTTTTTTTGGTGGTACTATGGATTGAACTCATGACCTTGTGCTTGCCAGGCAAGCACTTATTCTACTGAACTATCTCCCTAGCCCCCGAATAAGGTTTGAGCCACCATGTTTTGTGTTGAGTGGATCCCCCAGAAGCGCTGGAAGCTTAAGTCCTCAGTGTGCAAGGACTTGTTTGAGTCACATCAGCAGAGGCCTTCTGCGTGGATTAATGCCTTTCTCCCATGAGTTCTGCATCTCACAGGACTCTTTCAGAGACTGTGAGACCATTGGTTATAAAGCAAGCCCATCCCTTGTTTTTTGTCCCTTTTGCATGTGCCTGCTTGCCTTCCTGCTTTCTGCATGAGTGAACAGCGGGAGTCTCTTAACAGATATGGCTGCCGTCTTAGACTTCCCAGCCTCCATAACTGGGAGCTAAAATGAACTTCTTTTCTTCAAACATTTCCTAGCATCAGATTTTCTGTTATAGCAACAGAAGGTGGAATAAGGCCTGTCATCTCAGTACTCTTGAAAGCTGAGGCAGGAGGGTTCCAAGTTCAAACAAAGCTTGGGCAAGCTTGTAGCTTAGTATACTCTGTCTCAAACTTGAGACTCTTTTGCTTTCTTTTTTTTTTTGGCAGAACCAGGGATTGAACCCAGGCTCTTGCACTTGCCAGGCAAGCGCTTATTCTACTAGCTCTCTCCCCTGCCCTTCTGTCTCAAAATTGAAAAGACAGATTTTAAAAATGGGGAGGGCTGGGGACACAGCTCAATGTGAAGGCCCTGGATTCAAATCCCAGTACCAACACAACACAACATACACAACACAACACAGCAAAGCAAAGCAAAACAATGCACACTGAGACATGTTCTATCACTGTCTTGATCTAAAGAGTGTTCATTGTCCTATAGAAGAATTAAGACAACTTTTCATGAACAGCTCACCAATCTCCACGGAAATATGGCCCAACCATCCAGTTCCATCTGTGTTCTCCACGCACCTTGAGTTTTCATGAGAAACACCACAGGGTGGCACTTATTAATGACATGTTTTTCACTTTATTGAAATTCTTTTTTACAAAAGGTCTGGTATACTTAGGCCAGGCCTAATTCCTCTAGTCCCTGAAATACAGGTCCATGGTCATTTCCATGTCCTCTTAGATAGGTATGTAAACTAGTCGACTTTTACTTTAAAGGTTCAACCATTTAACATTTCAACATTGTTTTTGACAAAACGAGTTTTCCCAAAGGAAAAGACCAAATACGGAAATCGTATGATTTTTCATGGGTAGGGCACCTAGGTTCTTTGTCAAAACCAAGTTGGTGATTTTTAAAGTGACATTTTCCTGCCTTTCGTATTTTTCTAACACAAATTTTGCAAGTGCCGAGCTACGTAATAAAGAGTGCTATGTTATATATACATACATATATTGGCTCTGCAAGAAAATGCATGAGTACATGCGCATCGTGTAAACATAGCAGTGGGTCAGAAGAAATCTCTGATCACTAGGACATTAATCACAAGCGTACTGTAAGCAAAGAACGACCGAGAGCACATACTGGCTTGGTTGTCAGCTGGGGCCTTTGCTGCACCAGTGGCTGCAGAAGCACAGGGCCCACTTTGTCCAGGCAGAGTGCTGCTCACCTGATGTGACAGGTGATCCTGTATCTGAGACCTGACTGAGTTTGATTCTCCTGAAGTGAGGTGTGTCTGCACCCACTCACTGCCATGTGGCTCCCCCAGGTCTAGAACTTGTACATGACCCAGTTCAAGCCCTCCCCATGGGAACAGCACAGTATGAGCTCCCTGACATGTGGAGTTGCACATGTGCAGAGACCCATGGCTGTCATGCTCCTTGGAGGATCCAGAGACCCCTAACTTTGGTCACTCCAGTAAGATCCTTCAGAATGTGTGTTTCTCCTCACCACAGGATCACACTTGAAGGGGCCTGGAAGATGCAGTGTGACCTGCCAACAGCTCTGAGACACAGCCACCATGGCGTTTACCCTGAGTGCCCAATGGTGAAGCAATGGACTCAGGTTGACTCGGGCAGCCCCTATGTTACCCTCCAAATCAGCTCTCCTCCTGCACGAATGGTTAACTTGGGTGCCCCTCAAGCCTAATCGTGCGCCACACAGCATGGGGTTTTCCATATGCAACTTTCTAACCACCCATGTGTCTGGCCCAAGCTAAGGTCTAGCCAAGACATGCCAAAGTACAGGTGGGACCTTGGTTCAGTCATTCTTGATCTTCTGACTTGGAAGTCAGATGGAAGGACCAGTTGAGTATTACCTGGAGGTAGGTTCTTACCCAGACTGATGTACCTTGTACCAATGTGGCAAAGTGGATAAGTGAATTTAGCACCCAAGACACTATTAGCACACCACTGTAGTCATTCAAGAAATGCTGGATTCCCTCCCCTTCTCCCCTGCTGGGTTTCTGCAGGAATTTTGGATTTCCCGCTTGCTTCTACAGCTCTGTGTGTGTGTGTGTGTGTGTGTGTGTGCGTGTGTGTGACCACAAATTAAGGTACAGTGTGTGGAGACTGAATAAAGAGGGGAGACCAAGTCAATCAAGATTAAACCACTTGCTGGGGAGGAGGATATTGAAACTCTTGGCCTAACTGAGGTTTGGAAATTATCTGATGAATAAATGATCCATCATTCCTCCCATCTCCACAGCTGCCTTTGTCTCTGAGATCTTCTGGACATTCATCTGGAACCAAGAGACCAAGAAGAGCATAGATACTGGGCCCTGGGAATGGTGGCCACCTGAGCCAAGTGGTGGTCCCAGTGGCCAGGGCTCTTCACTCAGAAACCCTGGCAGAAGGAGAGACAGGCAGCAGATCCCACAGAGGACTTGGGAGCAGATGTCTGAAAGGAGAGTGACAACAGGCCACCACAGTCCTGGCATAGGGCTACGGGGACTGAGGGGATTGGACTGGGCAGAGCAGAGGCGTGGCCAGGGTAGCCCCAAGTGATACCCCCACCCCAAAAATGCAGGACGGAGGCTCAGGTGTAGGGCCCTGACCTTGGGTTGTGCCTGCTTTTAGTATCTATTGCATGTGACCCCAGCATCCTCAGCATGCCCACAGTTTGTCACCCCCCATTTGGAGAAGCTGCAGCGGAAGATGGTGTCCTCTGTGCCCTTGCAGGCGACGTCATCCATCCAAATTCTCCCTGTACCTGTGGAGACAGGGCAACATGACTTCTCAGAAAGGATGCAGAAAGAGGAGAAAAGGAGGCAGGACTGTGTCCACCCTTGACTAGGCTGGCCTTGGCCGTGCAAGCATCTGTCAGATCTGGTGGCTTCCATCTGCCATCTCCACCCCACCTAGAACTTGTGCTTATTTCTGGGCTGTATTTCTTGCAGGCAGAATAATAATTGATGGTGAGGATATGCACCTCTCCTGCGTCTGAAGTGTCTTCCACACAGGAGCTGCTGTAGTCCTCGCCATGCTGCTTGAAGGTAGGTCTTAATAAGCCCATTTTAAAGATGGGGAAACCATAGCTCAGAGCAACTGGTGCAAGGTTGCTTGGATTATAAGTGGCAGAGTCTGACTTCCAGCTCACGTCTTGCTGCTCCCAGGCTCACACTTTGCAAGAGACACTGCACAGCTGCTGTGGCATGGTGTCTCAAAGCCTCTGCTGGTGAATAGCGTGGCAGGGCCTAATTGGAGCTATCAGGTGAGACAGACCTGGATTTCCCAGTGACCCAGAGCCAAATTCATCAGTATCAACATCAACTCCAACCTTTTGAGGTTTTAAGAAGATGATCCTCTTCTATGATCCCGAACAGTCGTTCTGGGATGACAAGCAATCCCAGAATTTCACATTATGACAAAACAAATATTAAAGGATAGCAAGAGCATCCCTAAACCATGAATAGCTAAGCCAGTCACCAAATACAAGGTTGCTAGGATGATTCGTTGGTAGCTTCAGCCATAGCCAGTCCTGCTCACCTAGCTCTAAATTGGACTGACCTGCTACTCTGAAGGTGCCCATGCATGGAGGGCCAGGGGCTGTCACTGGTTATCCCAGGATTCTGTCTGAGCCATGAAAAGCATAAACTTGGCACTGAGGTCCCTCAGTGCGCAGCAGGGGCTGCGGGCAGCTGGGCCTCCATGAGTGATTGGGAGGCCTTCTCTAGCTTGGGCGTGGTGGGGCACAAGGGAGTAGGCTCCCATGATGAACTGGCAGGAACCAGTAGGCTCTCTGGGCTGATGGTTATGCTAAGCCCAGGTGGCAGAGCCCATTCTGGAACTTTCTAGAAGGATGACTGGTCTTCAGGGCTCCCATGGAAGCCATAGCTCTGCTGTTGCTCAAAGTTAGACCCATCGACTCACAGCAGTTGCATTATCAGGAGTTTTCTAGAAATATGGATCTTTGAATCCTGCTCAGGCCAGATAGAGGCAAGATCTGCATTCTAACAAAGGGGCTGAGGCTGGCAGCTTGGGAAGCACTGGCCTAGGAGCAGGAGAAGAAGGGCTTTGCTGTGGGGTGTGCTTCAACTCAAATCTCAGCACCATCTGGAGTTACAATTTCCATTTACAGATCAGGGCATGAATCCCAGGAAGCAGGAGCCTCAGTGTAGAAACTTACTATGGCCTGGGTGAATCCAGATAACTGGTCACCCAGCAACTCATTTGTTGGATCTGTGACCTGGGATCAAAAAGCACAGAGTTAAGGGTCATAAACCAGGTTCCAATATTATTGGCCATGTCACTTTGAGCAAGTTACTGAGATAACAGCTGCTGTATTGGAAAGAACTTTGGAATTTGCCAAAGCCTGTAACCTAGGAGCTTGGGAACCAGTATTGTACCTGGGCCTCACACCGTGGCCGCCTCATCTAGTTTTGCAGAAGCTTGACAATTTCTACCTCTTTCTTAGTGGAACTAAGTATCAACACCTTAAATTCAATTACTCACTCTTGGGCTACTGGGTGAAATCCTTTTGTAAGGAACGCTAAGGAGCCACCTAAACCCCAGTGCTGTTGACTGAATCCATTGCATGGAGTAAGCACTTTAGATGTGTTTTTGTTTTGTAGAGATCTTTGCCTGCTGTCATAGGATTGCCGCAAAATGATCTGGGGACAAGACAGGGAGGACCCTCACTTTGAAACATCCTCCTGGCCTGGAGAGCTGGAGCTCTTACACAACAAGCTCCTGCAGTCCAGCAGTAATGCGCAAATTAAACATCTCCAGGAAAACATATCAGTCTACAAATTACCCAGCAAAAAGGCTGAGGGCCCCAGAGCTCTGTGGGATTAGTCACACCCAAAGCAAATAAAGAAGCAAATAAAGGAGACTAACAAATAAAGAACAGGCCCAGGGTTACCGGGACCAAATGTGCATTTAGAATCTCAAAGCTCCCAGCTCTAGCTGGGGCTTAGCCAGAGAATTCTGGCCCAAGTCCACGTGTAGAAAGCACAATAAAATGGGAACAGGGTCATTACATGAGCAGCCCTGAGTATCTCGGTCCTGACAACTATGCAGGGCCTCCCTGGATGGGGAAGGAAGGAGCAAATCATCCCTACTCCTCACCTCGCTGCTGAAGCCAGCACTCTGCAGGTGCTGGGTATCAATCATCGCAGGTTACGAATGACAAGGATTCCTCAAGGTACAGTCTAGGGCCTGAGGGTTGTTAGGGATGTGCCAGGGGCTTATATATGCAGTGCTGCTTAGACCAGGTCTGTGGCTCCACCGAGTTATCTCTGAGCTTGAGCAGCACAGGAGCAGGGACACTTGGCCTTTGGAGCAAACGCAGCAACCAGCACCCTTATACGTGAAGAGGCAAGACTAGGATGAGAGCCCAGGAGCTGTGACCCTCACAGCGCCAGATGTAGAGGTGACAAACATCTGAGGGCCTACTCTGTGCTCAGCACTATTCTGAATAGTGTTCAGAATACATCAACAAGGAAAGGCAGAGCAAAAGCAGAACATCTGCCTCTTGGAGCTTTGCTGTGTTTACTTGCAGTAACATGACTTACAGAAATGTCATATAGGATCCCACAGTGTTCACCTAAGCTCACACAGAAGTATACAGGCCAGCTACTTGACAGATGGGAGAGAGAGAGAGAGAGAGAGAGAGAGAGAGAGAGAGAGAGAGAGAGAGAGAAATGGAGGTGCCAGCAGATGAAGTGACTTATTCATGGTCTTGTTAACTATGATGGGGTGGGTGGGGCTCACTCAGCCCAAGCCTTGTTCCTTATCAGAAAAACACAGTCCACAGTTTATAGCATGTAACTTAAGTCAAGGGGGGCACACTATGGACCAAATACATCGCAATGCCTACTGTTGTAAATAAAGGTTTATTGCAACATGGCCCCACTTGTTTGATTAGACATTGTCCATGGTTGTTCTGCTATAACTACAGAACTGAGGAGTCATGATGGTCCTTCACCACTTCCTCTCTGCAGTCTTCCCCTCCCCTCTTCCCACCCACCATGAATGAAGCAGCTTTGCTCTGCCACACCTTGCTGCCATGATGTTCTGGCCTTACCACCAACTGACCGTGAATTGAACCCCCCAAAACTGTAAGCTAATTTAAGCCTCTCCTCCTCTAAATTGTAGTTATTAGATAATTGCATCCTAGCAATGACAGGGGTGACTAATGCAACAAATTGGCCCTGGAGAAGTGGGGTCATTGCTATGACTGTAGGTAACTATGAGGTTTAGAGGTCTTTGGAACTGGTTCACTGGAAGAGTTTGGAAAGGTTTGAAGAAGTGGGCTAGAGTAGTCTTAGGCAATTGTGTGCAGATCTTCATATTAGGGTGGGTAGAGGCTGCTTTAGAAAGTCAGTGAACATCTAGCCTGCAAGGCAGTGGTATTAGGAGATGATGCCCTTGGCAGGTGATTAGGTCATAAGGGCATACCTTCATGATGGCATTACTATAGCTCTACCACTGGGGACAAAGCGAGAGACATCTATGAGCTGAAAAGAGGACCCTCACCACACACTGCACCTTCTGCTGCCTTGAACCTGAACTTCACAGGGTCAAAATACATTTCTGGTGCTTATGAGCTGCCTAGCCTCAGCTATTTTGTTATAGCAACCTAACCAGCTTCAGAAGAGGCCACAGTAAGCGTGCCAAGGAAGAGACTATCATGGGCCTGTGCCCCTCCAAAACACATATGTTGAAGACCTAACTCCTAGCAGGACTCAGAGTGTGGCAGTCCTAGGAGATGAGGTCTTTGAAAGGTACTTGAGATGAGGCTATTCAGATGAGCTCTAGTTCATTAGGCTGATGTCCTTCTAAGAAGTGGAGGTCAGGACATGGATGCATACAGAAGAAAACCAGGTGGGCACAGAGGTAGAAATGGAATCATACGCCAAGAAGAGATTCTTCAGGAGAAGCCACCCTGCCAGGACCTTGACGTTGGACTTCCCTGCAAAGATGTGAGGAAATGAATTCCTGCTAATTAAGCTGCTGCCTGGCCCATGGTATTGCTGCAGCAGCTGTGGCAGAAGGACATGGAGTCTGCCAGGGAGACAGACATGGCGGGGGAGTGGAGACTGGAGCTCGGGTGGAGCCATCTTCCTCGCCACAGGAAATGTTTAGATGGTTTAGCTCACTATGTGGCTGGGAAGGACCGTACTCTCCCACCAAGACTCCAGTACTGTCTGTAGGGAGGTAGTGCATACTCTAGCAAGTCAGAGGAAAGCAACAGTGAGCGCTGTGAGGACCAGGTGGGCTATCTGGGGATGCTCACCTAGAGGAGAAAAGGCTCCAAGAGGCAGAGACAGCCCACAGAGTGGGTATGGGCTGGATTCCTGCGATGCCTGTGTGGGCGGAACACAGGCCCTGCCATTTGCTAGCTGTGTGGCCTTGGCTAAGTTACTCAACTTCTGTTTCCTCATTTGGAAAAGAGGATGATGTCTGTGTCCACTCAACAGTTTTGTAGGAATTAAATGAGATTTTGTAATGCATTTAGAATATAGCCTGGAACACAGTGAGCACTGTACACATGGGAAGTGATAAAAGCGTGGGGAGATAAGAGAGCAAGCTGCAGAGCCTCCAAGAGGGACTAGCGACACGCCTGAGGGACTGAGAATGAGGGCTGGTAGGGAAACTGATGGAAGACAAGATCTAGGCTCAAGGAAAGGAACTGCTTGCCTGGGGGACAGCGATCTCCACCGCTGGATGCAACCAGGCAGGGCTCTTCACATTCCAGGGGACAGAGGCTTTGAAGAAGACCAAAGTCCCAGGATCTGCCGCCCCTCCCCAGGTCTGCTGCCTCTGTGGGCCTCACCTTGCCCAAAGCGAGCTGTCCGGTACACTTCCCCCGCTCCACGGAAGCCCAGCATGCGGCACACCACGTCCCCGTCCTTCTTGTCCCAGCCGTAATCACACACGGTGCCCCAGCGCCGGTCATGGTACACCTCCACGCGGCCCTCATGTGGGCCTGAGCCATTCACCAGGCGGATCATCGGGACTTCCACGCCACCTGAGGGGACAGCCACTGCCAGTCACCGCCTGGCTCTGGACACACCAGGGCCCCACCCAGGCACCATCTCTGAGGCTTTTCCAAAACAGACAGGAGGGACATGAAGGTGGGGCCATAGCCACAAGACCAGGATGTGTCACTCCTGCCCTTTGTCAGCTTTCTGCCACTCCAACCCCTCTGTTTTGTTTTGTTTTAGGTTTGTAGCAAAAGTGAGTGGAAGGCATAGAGATTCCCCACAGCCCCCTTTATCAAGTCCCCTACCAGAGTGTGTGTGTGTGTGTGCGCGTGCGTGCGTGTGCGCACGTGCCACAGCAATGAACCCACTGATGCATCACGCTCACCCAGAGCCCATACTTCTTGCTTTGGATGCATTCTATAGTCTTGGACAAATGTCTGATGACAGCATCTACCATGACAGTGTCATACAGAATAAGGTCATTGCCCTAAACGCCCTCTGTCCACCTATCTACGCTTGGCACCTCCAACCCCTGCAGCCATTGATCATTCACTGTATTCATAGCTGTACTTTTTCCAGAATGTCATGTACTTGGAATCACACAGCACGTAGCCTTTCAGGTTGGCTTCCTTCCTTTAGACCTCCTCCCAGAGTCTCATGTGTGTAGACAGTGATTGGATGACAGGATGCTCTACTCATCAGTAGGTTTATCCACTAATGGAGATAAGACAGCAAGCTGCAGAGCCTCCAAGAGGGACTAGCGACATGCCTGAGGGACTGAGAATGAGGGCTGGTAGGGAAACTGATGGAAGACAAGATCTAGGCTCAAGGAAAGGAACCACTTGCCTGGGGGACAGCGATCTCCACCGCTGGATGCAACCAGGCAGGGCTCTTCACATTCCAGGGGACAGAGGCTTTCATCCAGGGGACATGGATGAAAGTGCTGTGAAGAGGTGGGGCCTGGCTGGAGGCTGCCCCTGAGGGGTGTGGTCTGGAAGGATCTATTCTTGCCCCAGCTCCTCCCTCCCTCCTCTTGCCCTCTGCTTCCTGGCTGCCATGGAATGAACAGCTGTCCTCTGCCATGCCTTACTACTATGCCATTTCTACCTTGGTGCCAGCTGACTGTGGACTAAACTGTGAGCCAACAAGTACCCTCCTCCCTTACGGGTATTTGTTCCCAGGAACGGGAGAGTGACTAGTACAGTTAGCGATATGCATTTACATGTCCTCTGTGCTCTCATGGCAGGGGTCAGGGATCTGTATCTTTTCCAAATGTTCCAAATGATTCAGAGTGGCAACTGGTCTATAGGTTAGCGTGCAGGGGTGACATGTTTGGGAGATCAGTAAGGTTCCTTCTAGCTCCAAATGTTCAGAGACTCCAAGGCCAGAGCCAAAGCCCTCCTTTTTTGGGAGATGTTGGGTGGTTCTAGGGGAACTATACATAGTGTAGTGGATAGCTAACTGGTGGTCCACTTCTTAATTGAATTGAACTGGCATGGTGCTGGGTATGGGAGGCCCACCTGAGGGCTGTCGCCAGCAGCTTAAAGGCAGGACAGGAGAAGCTGCTGTAAATTAGGGACACAGTTTGGAGAAGCTGTTGGAAGCTGCTAGTTCTCTCAGGCTGTTCTCTGGAGGACCTTGTCATGCTGACTTTCCCAGTGAACTTTGGAGGAGCTTGGGTCCTCATCTTGAGCTTTGCTTCCCGGCCCCAGAGGGGAAGATGGTGCACTGCTCAGCCTCATGGACAAGCTTGTCACACTGGCTTTCCTGATGGGAACTCGGCTTTCCTCATCACTGGAGGAGCGTGGGACCTCACTGTTCTGAGGATGGCTGTGGTACTTTTGGGGGAGCTCTGGTGCTTAACCTGAGCGTTGCTTCCTGGCTCCAGTTTGGATCCCCCAGCCTGCTAGCTCAGATCCTTCATCCTGCTGGCATAGACGTCCCAGCTTCCACCACTGACCTTTGGGCCTTTCCAGCACAGAGCTGCGAAGTAGAATCCAGGCCCTCAGCTGGATTCTTTAGTATTTAGTGTGTGGATAGATTTCCTGCTCTTGTTGAATATGATTCTTGGGTGATTCCTTATAAACTAATATAGAATATATCCTATATTATATCATTCCCCTAGCAAGAGCCCCAAACCATGATACACAGTGGCAAGTGGGTGACACAATGCAGGAACACTGCCATGCTGCCTGTAAAACAGCAAACTTATCCCACTAAACCTGATCGAACTCTGCTCCTCAAGCTCCTCTCCCTCTTCCTCTTTTCTTCTCTCTCCTCCCCTCTCCTCTCTTCCTTTCTTCCCCTCCCTTCCATTTTCCTCCTTCCTTTCTTCCTCCTCTACTAGACACTGTCTGGATGAGGAAACCCAGGACACTGTGCACAGCGTAACAAGGAAGCCACCAGGAAATCACACCAGTCCAAGACTCTACATGGTTACAAACTGATCACTCTGGAAGTTTCTTCTCAATATTTAATGTATTTGCCTCTATTCTCTATCCCATTCATCTCAGAGTTACTGAACACACAGCTCCTGCCAGCTGCCAAAAGGCAGGCGAAGAGCTCTTGGGGAGCAAACCACAGAGGGAAGCTGGGGTCCAGAGGCCAGGTCAGCTGCAGTGAAACTGCCTAAGCGGTAATGAGGAGCTCACCCGGAGCCAGCAGCAGCAAAGGAGGCCGGACCCAGGGTTGGCTCAGGGGCAGTGTCAGCCCTGGCTTCTCACAGCCTTTCCTGACCTCTGCTGGCACCCTGTCATGGCAGGAGGCTGGGAACAGAAGACTCAGTGGGGAACTATAGGGTGAGAGATGGCAGGAGGATGCCATTGGTCCTAGGACAATGGAGAAACAAGCAGAAGCCAGATGGGACACAGGTGGGCAGCCAGGCTTGACACGCAGAGTCCCTGACCTGGCCTCTTTCTCTGGCCAGCCCCATGCACTCCATTCCTTTCCTCACTTTCCAGGCAAGCAGTTGAGACTCTGTGAGCTGTGTCATTCTACCCAGACCCAGCACTGGACCATATTCCTTGCCCTTTGTCCCCAGGACCCCAGACTGAGGGCTGATGCCCATGATTAGCTGCAAGCCACCTATGCGGTTAACAGATGCTGCGTACCCCAAAGGGGTCCAGATGATTCTGGAAGCTGTGTCACTTTCTCTGGACACACCCAAGCCAGACAATAATTCATTCTTTGTCTTACAGAACATGCCCCTAATCTGTAGCGTTTTGTTTTGTTTTTGCATTCTCTTTCCTCCTAATGAAATCTCAACTTTGTCACCACCTCCCTGGGAAAAAGCAGACTGAGGTTTGATCTGTCCCACTCGGGACTTGCAGACTCACGGGGCTGTTCCTTGAATGGTGTCTGTAGCTTGCGTTGGTCCCTGTGCAGTGAGGCCAGCAGCCAACGCCTTTCTCAGGCCTGAGCAGTGCTGCCATTTCAGGTGATGCCCTTGAGCAATCCCTAAACCAGAAAACCCCTCTCTCACCTGAGAAGGACATCATGAGCTGCTAAGAGGCCTGGGCCTCTGCAGGCATGCTTCTTTGGACAGAAGGTTTCAATTCAGCCTTTTCCCAGCAGCTTCTGCCCCACAGCAGTTTCCCCTAAGCAAACAACCACAACAGGAAATACCCTCATCTTGCCTTAATGAACCATCCCTCACTTAATCAGACATGTGCCAGGCATGCAGTCTCGGCCTGCTTTGTGACCCTCCCAGGACACTTACTGTTAGTTCTACTTCCTGAGATGCCCCACCTTGGTCCCTGCAGGGTGGGTGGGGCCTGGAAGGTGCCTTTTCCCCCCACGACAGGGATTCATGACTGCATGAAAATCAGGCACTCTTAGGCCCCCAGCAAGAAGGAATGGCCCGGTGTGAGGGCAGAGGTCAAAAGTGTATGTGATGAACTCAAGGGGGCCCAGGCTTTGGAGACTGCAGCCGCTTCCCTAATTTACTAACTGCCCTCCTTGACCTGGAAGCCCATTTAAAACCTCATTT